TTGCTTAAGTAACATTGGAACTCATTTATTATTGAGGTACTCGGTACCACCGTCAGTATGCAAAACCAAAGACGCAAAACCTAACTTAACTCTTAAAGCTCATAAACGTCAGATTTATACTTAATAAAGTATGCTATACAATTTCCATCTTTAAAAGTTACAAAGTATCTCATTCCTTGTACCTAAGGAGTTGCAATAGGGCCGCAGACATCACTGTAGGTTCTTTCACCGATATCTAGTTTCACATGTTCCTACTTCTTCTTAAAGGGCAGTTCATGCTGCTTACCTATTAAGCAAGACTTTATACCTGCAACCTGCAACCAAGTCCTTCTTGACTATTTCCTTGAGATATTTGAAATCAACATGGCCACAGCGTTCATGCCATAATTTGAAATTGTCTGAAACTGTGTTACGGGATGATTTTTCCCGCACCAAAATAAAAGGAAATAAGCTTATTCGCCTCTCTGAATAGCATACCTTCCTCAAGCCACTGTTTTCTATCCAATAGATGTGGCCACACTTTCCATCAAACTTTTCATTCTTCCCAGAATCATTAAGTTAGAGGTTTATTAATGGAATTGATTTCCTGTTGGTAGGGTTAAAATAAATAGTCAGTTAATTTATTAATAAATAAAATTACAATATTTACATTGGAACAGCTGATTGTCTGATCCGAGTAGATTGACTAGATTGACAGCGCTCCAAATAGGGTCAGTGACCGGTACTAACTTAATTTGAATAAGTACCATGCCCCAACTACCATCAAAATTCCCCAGTACCTTCCACCTTGGAGTTTTGACAGAACCTTTTTAAAGGACATTGCAGGGACAAGCAGAGGTCATTCAGGTCGAGGACTTTCCACGATTAAGTGTTCGGGAAAACTCCTCAGGCACATTTTGCCGATTTCTGAGTTGCCAAGTTTCGCTCATAGATCTAGGGTGGCTAATCCGCTATTTTATCACCCAATCGCCTTGTGCGGATTTTTTTTGTGAGTCGAAAAAGAGCAACGTGACCAATTGTTTGTTCCTAAAGGCCAAAGTAATTTTGGTAAGTGGTTTTTTCTTATTAGTCTTCTCTGTGTTTCTCTATTGCCTATATAAAAGCATAATTTTCTGTTAATTATATGGTTAAATTCCGAATATTGGACATACCTACCTATTGCTCCACGCCCTGTCTCATAACGTCCATTTGTTTCAGGCCTTTATTCATCACCTTTAGAAGTTACACTTTAATCTTCAGTCTTAGACGTTACGCTTTAATCGTTACCTTTTATTTGTCACGCTTAGTCCTTAACTTGAGTAAAGAGTTAAACGTTGAGCTTACTGTGTGTTTCAAGTAGTACCTCCAATCTTCAGCCTCCTCTGGACCATTGGAAGCTTTAGTGACTCCTAGTTACTGAACTTCAGTGCCCAGGGCCAGTGGCTTCTTGTGGCGGCCTTGATCCGGACCCAGGCGATCGGAAACACTGGAAGATATTAATCCCATCCGTAAGGTTCCCCCAAGAGTTTAGGGACTACTCAGGTTTGATAAGTGTGTTGTGTTGTCGTAATATCAAACCTTACCAACCCCTTGTTGGAGTAAATCACCACAACAACGCAGTTCTACAAGAATATTAAATTATCCTTCAGAGTATGTGTTGTCATTTCAATTTCTAATTAATTCTCTATATTACCTTTTTTTTGTTTATGAAACTTGCCCTTCAGGTTATGTATTGTTAAGTAATTCAATTTTATTAGGTATTTAGGTATCTATACTACCTATATTGTTACATAATATTAAAGCCCTTCAGGTTACGTATTGTTACTTCAACTTTGATTAATGCTGCACTGAATACAGGTAAATACTTGTACACTGGGGTTAAATGGCCATTTACGAAGGTACTGCATTTAGTGAGCTTGTCCATTAATTATTTATATTTCAGGTATTATTGCTTAATTTATTGTAAATACTATTTTTAGAGTATATAAGGTAGTACCTAACCTAGTTTCTAGGCGATTTCTTTTCTTCTCCGAACCTGATCCATTAACTTTCCCACCTCCTCAAAATCTTATTATTGACTTCTCCGTTACGTTTTGCGGGTAACAAAGTGGCAGTGCCCGTCTTGCCACGTAATAACTGTTAAATTTGCAGTGCAGAGCATGGTAATGAATAGGATTTTATAGGTATTGCTCAAGTCTTTCACAGCTGTTGCTACAAGGTTTGAGCCTACAAAAACCTTTGCGCCTTTTTCAAATTTAACAACTTTCATTCTCCTATCTGTAAGCACACCCTCAGAAAACAAATTCTTACGAAGCTGTGGTATGTATAATACATTATTATATCACTTACCATGAATCAGCTTTTGGATTTTTATTGTACCTTTTCCTTCTACCGACAGGCGTTTGTCGTTTCCAAGTGTCACTCTTGTCTTAAAATTACCATCTAATGTTTGAAACAGCTTATATGACAAATGAGCAGAGACACCACTGTCCATGATCCATGTTTCATTCTCAAAAATAACCCTGTGTCTCGTTTTTATCTTTTTTGGGATTTTCTCGTTTTCTGGAGTTTCCAGCTTGCCTCTTTCTTTTTTCTTTGCAGTATTTTGAGATATGGCCTCTCTTTCTACAATTATAACATAAAGGACCTCTTCTCATTTACTTGCTTTTTCTTATTAAAGGACATTGCTGCAAAAGCTTGTTCGTTTTCCTCGTAATTCTGCCTCTCTTCATCTAATGACAACCATGCTTGCCTTACGTTCCTATACTTAATAGGCAAGGTACTTAATATTTTCGTCATAATTGCCATATTACTTATAACGTCACCTGCATCTTCTATTTGTTTCGCAAGATTCTGTATCTTCGAGATATGCTGTGCTAGTATCATTTGTAGTCATCCTATATTGGTGGAAATGCTCGTGAAGTATCATCTTATTTGACTCTGACTTCAATTCAAAGATTGAATCTAACGTAGCTTTTGCTTTTTCACAACTTTCTATCAATGTTATTTGATCAACGTTCATGGCTGCGGTTAGTACAAACATAGCTTGAGCATTTTCTTTCACCATGTCGTAAGCTCATCAGTTTGAGAGTTGTCAGGCCTGGGAAGAGTCCTATCTATTACCCCATAAATACCTCTAGCCTTCAAGGCACATTTCATCTGAAATTTCTATTGCCTAAAGTTGGTTGCATCAAACTTATTGACGCTGGGAACGTCAACTTTATCAGTCATTGTATTATTGTCTCAATTAAAACCGACTGAAACCCACAATAAACGACAAACGTTTTCGCAGTTTTCGTGTGGCACTCCTTGCACCCTAGTACAGACCTTTTCAGTTTTTCACAATAGTTCTCCAAGGGACATACCCAAAACGTTTTACACGCGTTTTTATTCTACAGGCACACGACTTACACATTCCAAGGAAGCGCGACTGGGCCCATAACCTGTTATGAACAGAGTACGAAATAAAATGCCCCTTTATGTAAACTTGGGTCGCTTTTAAATTGTGAAAAAACGAAATATAAAAAACAACAACTATTATTATTGGCGTTATGGCAACTGTCTACTAACAAAAAAAAAACAAGTAAAAATCAGAACCAACGTACCAGGGTGTCAAGTTTTTATTTTTGATCCTACATAAAAAACTTACAGGTGGTGGTACTTTATAACTTGACACCCGCTACAGCAGACCATATTTAAATCTTAAACCTCACAAAAATCTTAATAGCACGCCTGATGCATGATAATATGAATACAACTGTCCTAAGCAACGATGGACAAGAAGAGTCTGTTCAAATAACTACAGGCGTTAAACAGACTTGATGGTGGCTTATTCAACCTAAATAGATTACGAGCCAAGACGAAAGTATCGACGATATCGACAATTGAACTTCAATATGCGGATGATAACGTCGTGATGGCCAATTCAGAGGAAGATCTTTAGGCAATTATCAATGCATTTAACCAGGCATACAGGCAAATCGGCCTAGAGGTCATTTTAATACAAGACGCAGATTCTCCATCACCCCGGAGATTAATTTAGTGATGTTTACTGTATAGAGGGTTGAAATAGCAGATCAGTTCTAAAGACTAATTTCTCATGTGAAAGATAAAAATTGAAACTAATTCTTGTATGTCGCGTTCAGTGTACTTTGATGTCGAACCCATTTCTTTCTTCTAACCCTCACTAAGGGATCATTGTCTAAATAAGCACAACATTTGGAAGGTTGTCTAAGGCCGTATGTATACAATTTATAGCAATTTCGTTTTTCGTATACATTCCACCCTTACCATGTTGCAATTTTTATTGTCAATTATATTACAAGAAAAGTTTTTACAATACAATTCATTACTTTATTACTTTGCAATTTTGTATAGACAAGTACATATAAAATTCCTCGCATTTATCTACTGAGTTTTACGTTAGATAACTAAACGCAATCCTCGACGTTTTATTACCAAAACGCAGCTATAAAATCCGGAGGCGGTTTATTGATCTCTCTTATGATCAGCAGAGAAAATATTTTTGAACATTTACTTACAGGATTATTAGTAATTAAGGTTGATATTGGTATCATAAATCTTTGGCTCTGGTCATTAAGGAGACAATATTTTTTTGGACATAATGGCTGCCGTTATCATTTATATGATTAATGATTAAAGTTTTTGTATCCTTATACAAAAAAAAAAGTTTAGCGGAAATCTTTTTCGGACAAATTAGGCAGTTCAGATTTTTCCTTATATTGAACTCGAACCTACTTAATCATTGGCAGACAAACTTCTAATCTTAAAATCTCTCGTAAATAGCCCAGCAGGAACTAGCTCACTTAGTTCGATTGTCAGCTACCAAACAGTAGATAAGATAGTGCGAATTAAAGTAAAGTAACAAAGTTTAAACTAGTTTTGTGACTAGAGAGATTTTAAGTTTCTCTGGAAAATGTAGAACTCCCAACCTAAATCAGATTATAAAAACTCTTCTGTCTGCAGATATCGTTATTATTGCTAAATACTTACGGACAAAAATGTTGGACATAAGCGTGGCCGGCAAGCAAAAAACGATGACCAGTATATCGGCGACCGCCAAGTTGACGATAAAAAAATTGGTAACGGTTCGCATACGAGGCGACCGGAAAACGACGGCAATAACGAAAAAATTGCCTACCAAACCGACTGCGAACACTAAAAGGTAGGCAACACAATAAACGGCCGTCATTGCGGCCGAATGACGATAGAAAAGCTCCGGGGGAAAAGCGGATTCGGTCGTGTTCAACGAGGCGTTCATTACTAGGGTAGCCACGTGGGATTTGATCTCGAAAATTGCGGTTTTATGCATGTCGTTGGTTTCGGTGTGGACCTGGAACAAAAAAAAATAAAATTAAATAAGAGTTAACCTGCGTTCCCCTAAAAAAAAATTAATCGCGTTGCCTTACGTTCCCCTACTTCTTAACAGCCAAGCTTTATACGAAAACCGAGACGGCTATAAAAGTAGGGTCTGCTGATTCATAAAATGAAAATTCAATGAGTCGTAAAATTAGTCTTTTGACCGGCAATAATCGATCAAAAGACTAACTCCTCTGGATTTAAGGAAAACATAATTGGAATAACTACAGTCTATACTGGTGATGCATATACATCTTCATGTCAGTAAAAAGGGATATAAAGATTTCATGTCTGTAAGGTCAACTTTTAAGTATTTTCATCATTCATCCAGAAGAAGATTTGTTGTGTGTGTACAATGTTATCGGACCTTAACACCTTGTCGGTAAGATTATTGCTTCCTTAATTTTTCACTTGTATGATTCAAAGAATGGAATTTTCCACAGGTGGGAGACTGCGTTACATTTACAACTCATAATTTCTTTGACAAGTTCTGTTTTCATTTGACTTGTTTTAATGGATCTGGCATTCTTTCTCGAGAAGTTTTTATGGTTGGTGTCAATGGTTTATCTATTACAGACAATCACTGGCGGATACAGTAGGGGGCAGGGGGAGCAACTGCCCCCCCTTTTTAAAATAAAATAATAAAATTAAAAAAAAAAGAAAACAAAACCATATTTTAAGTTTTAAGAATGTTTAGAAAGCTGGAAATCTATAAAAAAAATCGCACTTTTATCTTTGTCCCAAGAATTTTAACCATATATCATTAGTGGTTGAGTTGATGTATTATTGTTTTTTTTTTGTTCTAAGAAATATACAATTTCCCGATTCCAAAACTATATGGTTTGTCTATATTTGGTTTGAATACTATCAGAGAAATCAAGTAGGTACCTCAAATTTTACCTGCACCTTTCACCTGTACAGGTAGAATGGTTCACAAAATCAGTAGTAAGATAGTATATTTACAATTTTTTGAGCCAAATATATGAGAGTTGCTCAATCAAATATAGATCGGGGCATTGTGTTCTTCAAGAATATAGGGCATCCCATTTGAAAAAAGCTGGAAGCATGCAAAATTTCATATTTCTGACCATGGTTTCTAAAAATTAAGCCAAAACTGTACAACTTTTGAATTTATACTTTTTTTCTACCTGTGAAGGTAAAGGCTGTAGGTGGGGTGTCAATATATAAAAAAACACCCTGTACAAATAAGTCGATTATTGCGGAAATTATGGGTGGACCTCTGCGGGACGAGCGCAGCGAGTTCCGCAGCCATCTAATTGTTCTCTTAGTTAACTCTCATCTTATTACCTGCCCAGTTCAAGGTGCTTGGTGGATTACTGTGGTGGATTACACAAAAAGTCATGAGCTTTGAAGTCTGTCTTCTCCTCGGTCTTTTCTACATATAATTATTGTCATTCCTTGGCTTATTACATTAAAGTTTTAAGAATATTCTGAAGTTTATTTGAAGATACCTACGCAAGAACTTAATGTAACATGGTGGCAGCGAAAGGGCTTCAAGAATAAACAAGATTTTGCAGAGACGTTGTGACGAAAGGCACGAAATGCAAGAAGTTTGATTTGCGATGTCGTTTCCAGACGGACATGAATCGGGGACTCAAGGGTCTGGAACTACGGCTATGCAGGTAAATTTGGGTATAAATGTAACCCATCCAGATAAACTGAATTTTTCATGTCCAAATATTTGGCCACAGTGTCGAAAACGATTTGAGAGGTATACATGTCTGTATCAGGGCAAAACAACAAGAGTGACACAGACAAAATATATATAGGTATATTTTTTTTTTTGCGAATTTACATCTTTGTGTCCTTGTTCGTTCAGCCGCTCTTCTGAGCAAAGCCTTTATCAGCTCTTCAGTTTCCTTTTGATAACTATGTTTGAACCAAATCCAAGCGGCAGTAAAGACATAACTGGTCATTCTCATTACAACCTACCAAATGTCCTCCGGTATTTGTTTACAATTTAGGTTATAATATCATTTACTACCGCTTGGATTTGGAAATGGTATAGGTTTCCAGGACAATAATAGGAGGAATCTCATTTAGTGAAGATTTTAACTACTAATAGGTTAAAATTTAAATCAAGTCATAGCTTAGATCATTGAAGTCATAGTAGCCTACCCACAATCGGGCTTACAATCTAGCCAAATTGGTCTTTAAAAACAAATTTTTTCCTACGTCCCAGCCAATTATAATTACAGGCCAGCTTGCTGGATAGTAAAAATGTTAAGCTTCGTTTCACCAAATCAGTATTTTTGCAAAATCTGAAATTTTTCATCAAATATGGTATGTATATCTACTTATTTCCAGCATTGTTTCCAGTTACTTACAACAAAAAACAACCTTGGATTAATCCAAAAAAACACTTTTTTCTACGAGCGTGCATTTTTTATCACTTTCCCGCACGCATTTTAGTTCCGAAAATGTCACTTTCCCGCACTAGTGCGGGAAAATGCCGTTCAGAAGTATCAGTTTTGTTAATTAATCAAACATTTTATCAATTTTGTCTGCATACATTTTTGCTATTTTAATCCATATTAATCTAATTTGTGGATCTTTCAAAAATTTAATAATTTTTTTTGACATTGTATACAGGTATGGTTTTTTTAACGTTGGTTAACATATGGTAGGTACTTGTATATATACTTGTATATATGCTTGTATATATAATTGTATATATACTTGTATATAAACTTGTATATATGCTTGTATATATAATTGTATATATACTTGTATATTTACAGAGTATCTTGACCGGAGAATTTATAAACAATGGGAGTTTCTTGGGGTATCGGTCGTCTTGAAGGGCTAGGAAATACTTGTATATATACTTGTATATAAACTTGTATATATCGTCGGTCTCCTTACGTAGTGGCGTAACTGACAAAAATTGAGATTTTGAGATACGCCGCCTTAGGTATTATTTTGGGGTGCTTTTCAATCTCACAAAGTAGCGTAACTGTATTTCTAATACTATGCTTGCAATGCCATTACTAAGATATGGCGTAAGTGCATAAACCTTTAAAGTGTTTCTCACGTATTGGCGTAAATCAATTTACGCCTTTACGTCGTGTCACTTTTTTGATACATTCCAAGTTTAACTACTTATCGAAGAATTTTCAAGGCGAAGAATCTGTCGTTTTTAAGGCCAAAGAAAGATCAGTGCTCACTTTGCTTATCCTTCAAAGAGGGAGACGCTGCTATTAAAGAAGATTTAAAAGATAAATACGAGAAACACATTTTAGAGAAACAACTAGTGAGACAGAAAAAAAGTGAAAGTAAAGAAAAGGCAAAGACTGATTCAGATATCCTTTGCGCGGTTTTTGATCTTCAACAGGTGATTTACTTACCCATTTCACAGGAGTCTGCAATTTTCTATAAGTCGAGGATGTCAGTTTTTGATTTCACTTTTTAGAATGTAGCCACCAGAGAATGTTCCTGCTTTGTCTGGGACGAAACAAACGGGAAACGTGGGTCGACTGAAATTGCAACTTGTCTATTCAAAGCAATTGGCCAATACGTCGGAAAAGGAGTACATACCATAGAACTCTTCTGTGATGGGTGCTACGGCCAGAACAAACATTCGGTTGTAGCATCCATGTTGCAGTATTCGTTGGCAAAATACTATTAAAAATATTAGTTTGAAATTTTTTGGAACCAATTACGGACAAAACGAAGGTGATAGCGCCCACAGTGCTATTGGTTACGCGCTGGCACATTATGGTGACCTCTTTGTACCGTCACAACTATACCCAGTCATTCGAGGTGCAAGAACACAACCTAAGCCGTACACTGTTATTCCAATGAGTTTTGGAGATTTTCTTGATTTCAAAACATTTTCGAAAAATCTAAGACTATTTATATCTGTAAGACAAAGCGAGAAAAACAGATCTTTAAAATGGACCGAGATTATGGATCTTAGTGTCAATAAAGAAGAACCGATGAGCATTTTCTTTAAATATAGCCACGCTGAAGAAAGTTATGATAAAATTGTGCTTAAACAACGTGGTGGAATAAGCCATCTAATTATTGATAATTTGAATAAGAACAAATTAAAATTTCCAGAAAGAAATATGAAGATTTAACTGCTCTTTGTAAACCATCTGGCAGAAACAGAACAGCGGTAATACGCACACCCGAACTTCAAAACTTCTTTTACTCTTTGCCGCACGAAGAAGACGAAAAATAATAGTGCTGTTTTTTGTTGTTTTTCCAAATAAAAAGAATCAGATTCAAACTGTTTTCATTTTTTTTAAAGAATGATTTTTTTCCCTTTTCATTAGCCATTGTAAAGAATGAATAATTTTTTATTTTCTACTTTACTATTATAGATCCATAATACCTAGGAAACGAAATACGTTAACACACCTATAACAACCTGATCCATAACGCCCGCTTTTGCGGGCGTTATGATCTATAACGCCCGCTTATAATACCTTAAGGTGTTTTTGTTGTTGTTGTTCTATTAATTTGCACTTTACCCTAGGCAGCCACTAAATGTCTGACCGAAAATAATTTTTGGTCTAGCCAGGATTCGAACCCGGTCTACCATCAACGTTTCCCATGTAGTCCAGCGCGTTAACCCACAGGACCACCACCGTTGCCTTGCCTTATGAGATGTTTATAGATATATTAATTTATTTCGTTTCTATGTACAGGTCGCAGGTACAGGTACAGGTCACAGGTACAGGTACATGTCAAAATACAAAACAATATTCTGTCACACAAGTTTAACTGATTTTGTTAATAATAAATTGATGAAAAAACATTGTGTTGAGTAGAAAACAAAGCATTGTATGCACCACGGGGATTTCAAGATTATAATGCCCTTCAGGCGAAATATATCCCTCGAGCCATAGGCCCTCGGGCTAGTTTCGCCTTCGGGCATTATAATCTACATAATCCCCTTGGTACATAAATAGCTATTAAAATAAAAGTATAATATTATGAATCTGTATCACTTTTTCCCTACACGATCTTATAGGCGTAAGTGTAAACATAAAAAAAATATATTTTTACAAATTGGCGTATCTGTATAAACATGTTTTTTACTTGCAAGCTGATCAGCTGATAACAAAAATGTTATGCTTAAAAGAAGCAGGAATAGTTAAGCATTTTGATAAAAAAACACAATTTAGGCCACCTTCAGTAGAAACAATTGAACACCGATATAAATATGCTCCATTTTCGTTTTTTGCGTCTACTGGAAAATTTGTGAAAAGCTAGTTACGCCACTACGTAAGGAGACCGACGATATGCTTGTATATATAATTGTATATATACTTGTATATAAACTTGTATATATACTTGTATATACAGGGTGACTGGTAAGTGGACGTATTCCTTTGAGGAGGTGAAAGTAGAGCCCATTTGCTACCGATTAAACATCATTTACCTCTATACCATTCTCAACGGGTTTTGAGATATTTTTTATTTTTATATTTAAGAAATTCACTTTTTTGGGAGGTAAATATTTAAAATTAACGAAATAATGAGGAACACACCTCATTTAGCTAAATGTTAACACCAATATTTGATAACATTTCTATTGTAAAACTTGGTATTAAAAACGAATCGAGTAATTTTTTCTTCATATTGGTTACTCTTACAAATAAAACTTATTTATTTAATAATAAAACAAAAAACTAACTATAAAATAATGTGCCTTATTCTGAAGACAATTATATCAAGAACTTTTATTAATAATTTGTACGTTTGATGTACTATGAAATTTTCAAATTTTTCAAGCATAAAGTAACCATTAGTTTGTAACTTGACAAGGAAAGTTAAGTTTAAACCGAGATAATTTAATAGTTAATATTATTGTATCAATAATTTTCAATGGTAATATTTGTGTGAGTGTGTCAGCTTATAATTTAAAAAGCGACATTTAAAATGGCTTTTATTATTTTCCTTAATTTTAAATATTTACCGGGCAAAGGAGCGAATTTCTTGGAAATTAAAAAAGAATAAATATCTCAAAAACTGTTGAGAATGGTATAGAGGTAAATGATGTTTAATCGGTAGCAAATTGGCTCTACTTTCACCTCCTCAAAGGAATACGTCTACTTACCAGTCACCCTGTATAATTGTATATATTATATATAATTGTATATATACTTGAATATATACTTGTATATATACATGTACCCTTGATAGATAAATAACTATTGTAATTGAACAATTTCTTCAATAATATATCGCTTTGAATTTACTTAATTTTTATTTCTATATTTGAACGCGCTCGTAGAAAAAATAATGTTCCTTACTCATGCGGAAAGTGTCTTTCCCGCACTCGACTGCTTACCCGAACTCCGCTTCGCGTCGTTCGGGTCAACGGCAGTCGCGTGCGGGAAAGTATCACTTTCCGCACTTGTTAGGAAAATAACTATTTCACGTTTTCACTCCAACACAACACAATTCCAACCTCAAAGGTTAGGCGAATGGCATATGGCATTTAATGAGTTGACAGTTGACAGAAGAGCTGAGGCGCTTTCATTTATTCACCGAAGGATCCATCGATGACCTGTCTATCTTTGTCTAGTTCATGGAAAATCGGAATGGCTGTTTCATAACGCTGGCAGCAGATGGATCCATCGATGAATAAAAGATTCGCCCTTGTAGAATGTAGAGGGCGCTTCCGTACTTTGAGCTTTTTATTTTTAAATTGTGGCGCGTGAACCGGGTGGTGCAGAAACCACCAGTGGAAACCACAAACAGTCAGATTGAATTGGTTTGAACTAGTTTTCTGATTGTTTTCAACCAATGAAATTCGCTCTGACTGGTTTGTGATTTCTGCACGAACAGACCTACTGTAAAAAGTGAATATTACATTATGCCAATCTTTTCATGGTATACGTATACCCCTCGTTTTCATTCTAATCAATCAGTCACTTCACAGATAAGTTAACTATCTTTGTTTAGTGAATGGAAAATGACAATGACCGACATAGAATGGTGGATCCATCGGTAAAATTTGATGAGAATAAAAACGCAGGAATAGATCAAGGTTATTTGAGAGAGGTAGGTTGCCTGATAACTTCATTACGTCATCTGGGGTGCCTCAACGCCCTCAACATAATGTAAATCTCCATAAGGCACCACAGATGCGTCATCAAGCTACCCATTAACAGACAACGTATCAACTTTAGAAACCTTGAGATAGATTTTGTTGTTCAATTGAACTGGCGGGAAATTCAAATTATGATTTATTGTTTGGGTTTAGCAATAAATAAATATAAAAAATAATAAAATCACTATTAAAATAAGGGTATAGCTGCTAAAAGGTGAGGGTATATATTATCAATTCTTTGGTACCTGCCAATGATAATCCTAATTATACATTTGAATAAATTATTGCATATTATGCATTTTTTTTTGGGGTACTTTGAATGTACCTACATCCATCATTCTGTGGACGTTCTATGTACGTACATACGTGTACGTCCACGGTACGTCCATTTTTGGCCCCAGAACGTACCTACTGATAAAAATGGACATAAAATGTACGTCCCTGGTACGAACCGGCTGTGTACGTCCCAGGTATAGTACGCGCAACAATATACCGTTGACTCTCACTGCAATAAATTAACACCCATTATCCTTTTGACCAAGTAATAAATCATAAAACCCCAAATTTAAACCTTTTTCGAGCAGAGCCGGATCCTCAGGTATTATCACAAATTCTATTTATAACAGGTAGGTATGTTACATACCTGATGACCTAGATTATTCTGAGTTTTGAGAATATCTATGTCTATATTGCATATCAGGTCAAAATAACCAAAATATAAATAGTAGCAACTGACTTTATAATTTTAGTTTTTAGTAGTCTTCCAGAGAGTAGTTTTCAGTTGGACTTATCTGTGGTATTATGTGGCGTCCTTTTGAGTGTACTGATAGGGGGGCATCTTCAAGTGACATTTTTCGAAGAAAGCATTTATCTATCGATGCCAAACAAATAATTAAACATGTGTATCAATCTTTGTTGAGTAGAAATTTTAATTCAACGAACGCATTAGCAGAGACGTCCACTTTAACAAAAACTCCTTTATCTTCGGTAAGAGACATAGTACTTAAACCTGTTAATCCTAGAAAAAAACGGAGTGATTCTGGCACATTTAGAAGCATTGACCAAAATGACATAGATCTATTGAGAAGGAAGATTTATCAAATGTATGAGGAACAAACTGTACCGACTTTGATTTCCCTCAGAAAACGGCTGTTAAAAGATGAAACAAATATCTCTTGTAGCCTTTCAAGCCTCAGGACAATATTGAGTAAAATAGGTTTTAAATACCGAACAATTAATAAGAGGCAAACATTAATGGAATCTCAGCGTTTGCGGGAGTGGCGACTTAGATATTTAACAGCTCTTAAACAATTTAGGGAAGAAAATCGGCCAATTATTTACCTTGACGAAACATGGTTCGATACCCAGGATACTCCAAGAAAAGGTTGGAATGATTCTTCTAAAAAATGTCAAACCAAGGCACCTTCAAATAAAGGCAAAAGAATCACAATAATACATGCTGGTTCAGAAAACGGATTTGTTCCAAATTGTCTGTTACTTTCCGCCAAAAACATATCAGATTCTTCTTTAGATTACCATCAAGATACCGACGCACGACT